GAGGAAGAAGTAGGAGACGCAAGGCACTATCTCTTCAAAACGGGGACCCAACACCACAGGATGGTTGGGAGCAACAAACCAACCGACGAGAAGTGCGCCCCTTCCACCAAAATTGCAGCCTCCGCATCATGACATGCTGCATTGATTCCGTGTCCGCTTCTCATCATATGGACGTTGCCGCACAAATGGTCACCAGTAGTTAATAGACAGGACGCTACTGTATTGCTCGCTAGGAGTCCGCCTCCGTGCCTCTGGGCACGGAGTGGGCGTGCCCTCAGGTCATTTGCCTAATCGCTTAAACCTCAGTCCTCAACCCTGAGGGGTCCTTACAGGCCCCGGAGCCCAAGTTGCCAAATCTTTCAGGGCTTGTCTCGGCGTGTCGGGGGCTTCCCGCGGCTGGTCGCATAACTTGTTCGGACACCCGAGGGTCCCAAGACGGGCCAAGCGGGCCCCAATAGAGACCACCAAGATGGTCCAAGAGGGCTTCGAGACGCCTAAGGATCGCTCCAAGACGCCTAAAGATGGCCCCCAGACGGTCCAAGAGACCTCCAAGACGCCCCAAGAGGCGTCCAAGAGTCTTCCGAAGAAGGCCCCAAAAGGCCAAAATCATCAGTTTGCCTTTGGTTTTTGAAGGTCGTTGATCTTCTCGCCTTTTCGGCTTTCCGCCGCTCCAAGACAGCCCAAGAGGTCCCAAAGATCACCCCGAGACGGCCCAAAAGGCCGCCAAGACGGCCCCAAGTGGGCCGCAAGACGGCCCAAGAGGCGCCAAAAATGGCCCAAAAGGGCTCCAAGATGTCCCAAGAGGCCTCCAAGAGGGGGACCAAAAATTCGAGCTCCGGGCCCCAGGAGGCCCCAAGAGTGCCTGAAGAGGCCTCAAGAGGCCCCCAAGAGGCCCCCAAGAGGCCCCAAGAGGCCCCCGAGAGCGCTCCGAACAGACCCCACGAAGCATCCCTGAGAGCTCTGACCCACAACTCTGGCACGGTAGCGGGATGGGCCGAAGGTTGCTTGGGGAACGGAGGACTCCCAGTGGCACACATACGCTGGGACATCTCGCTCACCCTCCCAGTGGAGGTAAGCCGAGACGCCAGAGTCGCGGAGGAAAGGCAAAGGAGGGCGAGTGGGCAACAGCGACCGCCACGGTCTGCGACCTCGGCATTGAGCACTCAGGCCCATGATGCCTCACACTCCCTACCCACGGAAGGAGGCGAAGCGCAGGCACAAATAGGGCAGATCGTCGTAGCAAATCTGCGCGGGCGCGGCGACAATGACAGCAACAGTCTGCGCCTCACAGCAAGCCGCGCCATGGCTCGGCTAGGGCCTGGCGCCAATCACACAGTCGTGATGTGGCTGGGCCACTACGGAGCGCAGGGGGCTCAACATGCAGTCGCGCTCAGTGCACAGAAGCTACACGTTGCAGTGCGGTCCCGTGCATGTACAGGGGCCTGCACGGGAGTAGGAACAAAGAACCGTGGATGCCCCTAGGCATCCGTGTGCTCTGCTACGGCCAACGCATACGCCCGGGGAGCCCAACCAGAAGGATGAGCAGAAACTGGGACGGCTGTCCGTCCAGTTGTGTGAAAAGAGGTGGGGCTTGATCCTCGATGGAAAACCTAGCGTCTCCATCCTTGCACAACGCCCACGCGTGCAGTTGCTTAGGGGGCTTGCCTTGCTGAAAGCGCCTCCAAACGAATTTGACTAGCCAACTCAGATGGGCCGAAGGCCAGTAGATCCGCCGCCCCTTTGTGCTTGTCACAGGGGTGCCTGGCGTGCTAGATCCTACGGTCTTTGCTTGTGGCTCTTTTTCCCAACCAACCTGTGGTGTTAGGTCCTCGTTCTGAAGAGACGGTCCCCGTGTTCCTCATCTCCTCCTCTGCTCCTCCTCCCTCCTCCCCTCCTCCCCCCTCCCCCTCTTCCCTGCGTTTCACCCACCCAGTACAGCGCTTCGTAGCCCCATAGGGGGCTCCACCGAAGGCCCCAGTGCCACCGTCCACATGCGCCCCCCCCACTCAGTACAGCGTTTCGTGGCCCCATAGGGAGCTCCACCGAAGGCCCCAGTGCCACCGTCCACATGCGTCCCCCCCACTCAGTACAGCGTTTCGTGGCCCCATAGGGAGCTCCACCGAAGGCCCCAGTGCCACGGTCCACATGCGTCCCCCCCACTCAATACAGCGGTTCGTGGCCCCATAGGGAGCTCCACGGAAGGCCCCAGTGCCACCGTC